TTCTCTCAAGAACATTCAAAATCTTCGGAACCACCATTCTTCTCAAGCAAAGAAAAATAATCTCAACAATATTATCAGATACCAAGAAAATAATAATGTACCATTCCACTTCAGTCATAAAATTACCTCAGAAAATCAAAAAATATCCACTACAAACCTATCTTACGCTCAAGTGGCTCAAAACAAAAATACAAATACGCCAAAAAATCAACCCCACTTAGATACTACTACTCAACTAACTACTCAACTTACATAATTTATAAACGAACTAAAATCACTAATTACTCCTCTCATATCACTACTTACAAAAGTAATCGAAAAAGTCCTAGATAAAAAATGACCTCAAACCCAATCAATCATTCCTCTTTATCAATATTCCTTTTGAATGTCAATGGATTAAAACAACATAGTAATGAACTTTTCTATCTTATCCACAATAAAAACAAATATACCCCTCATTACTGAAACGCACCTATCAAAATCTGTAAATATAAAATTTCAATGGCTACTTAACTATTAAACCTGACCATCCTGATAGTACATCCCATGGAGGTTCTGCAATAATAATAAAATCCTCATTTTTTTATGATGAAATGCAAACTATCAGTAAACCGTACTTACAAGCGGTAAATATCAAAATAAAAATAAATTATTTAAACGTTACAATCTCATCAGCTTACTTTCCTCCAGGCTAACAAATCATAGAACCCAAATTGCAATCATTTTTCCAAAGTCTCGGTAGCTTTTTTATAATAGGTGGAGATTTTAATGCTAAACATACCCAGTGGGGTAGTAGATAAACTAACACAAGAGGTAGATTATTTCATACTTTAATACTAAAAAATAAAATGTCTTTTATTTCCCCTGATGAACTAACTTATTGGCCTACATATGAAAACAGATCCCCCGATATTCTCGATTTTTTCATAACCCAAATCCCAACTGGTTTAAAATACCATATAAAAAATCTAAACCACCTATCAAGTGACCATTCTCCCCTACAGTTAACATTAGGAACCCTACCTATTTCCGTTCCTGGACAGTCCCTTTCTTCAGCTCCCATAGATTGGAAACTGTTTCAACAAAAATTAGACGATTCACTGTCTCTCATTTTGTCACTTAAGTGTCCTCTAGATATAGACAACGCAATCTCTATACTAACCAATTCAATTCAAAATGCAGTATCAAGTTCTTCTTTCCACTTCTCAAATAATAACCTACCAAACTATCATACTTTACTTCCTCTATTCTTAGTTAATCTTATAAAAGCAAAACGTCAGGCTAGATCATTATGGCAAAAAACAAATTATCCTATACACAAAATTATTTATAACCATCTCATAACTGATTAAAAAATTCAATTTGCAAAGTACAGATCCGAACAGTTTAGTAAATATTTAACTACTCTGAGTCCCAAAAATGGGTACCTCTGAAAAATAACCAAAAGTCTAATTTAATCAATCATCGTGATAATAAACCTCCACTTCAACGACCTCACAAATCATTAGCTATTTCTGACGTAGAGAAAGCAAATCTTTTTGGTAATCACCTATCATCTATTTTCTCTCTTCATCCTGATATAAATTCTACGCCAGATTACGCCAATCTAGTAAATTCATTTTTGTCCTCCCTTTTGCCCATTTCTCTTCCTGCAAAACCGATATCCCCTGCTGAAATTGTTTCAGTATTCCACAAGCTTGGGCTAAAAAAATCCCAGATCATGACCAAATTAAAAATAAAATAGCCAAAAACCTATCAAAAGAGTCAATCCTGTTTTTTACTCATATTATATGAGTAATATAAAGTAATATATTATAAGCTATGCTTCGTTTGTTTTATTTTCCTCCTGCATGGAAGTATTCAATTATCATTATGATCTCTATACCAAATAAGCCTAAGCACCTCATCAGTTCTTATCGTCCTAATCAGTTTACTATCCACTTTTGCAAAGCTCTTTGAAAAATTAATACTACATAGAATTACACCAATAATCAACCAACATAGCATATTACCAAAATCACAATTCGGCTTCCGTCGCAAACACAACACAATACACCAAATCCATAGAATTACAGATAAAAACTCAGCCTCCTTTGAGACAAAGCAATTCTGCCCTGGGGTGTTTCTTGCCCATGGGTATCTAATTTCTTTGGTTTTATCGTAGATGGTTGGAGGATAAGGTTAGATAAGACCAACCCTCATCCTCAGACATCCGCACCCGCCGAGCATCAACACCCGCACCCCAGAAACTATTTGCCCTCCACTTTTCTGAAGCACCAGCGATTTTTATTTTCAAGGCCTATCAATCGTGCGACCGATATGCGCTCTGATGGAGATACAACGATAAGACATTTATTTTACGCCGCCGATATTTTTTTCGACATAACTCAATGCGATCAACCTGATAACGGACAATACGAATATTAGATATGTAATTGGTCGCCAATAAAATATTAAGTTTTATTTATAAACATCCCAATGAAATAAGATTTTGTCAATTTGTTTAGCTCCTTAAAATTAAAAATAATAATATAAATATGGCTCTTTATTTTATTATATATAATGTATGCAAATACTTATGGAATACAAAATCAAGTAAGCCTAAAAAAAAAATTCTAACCCCCCTCCAAATTATATAATTATATAATTCAAAATGAAAATGTATTATCTAATTAATATTTATATGTGAATATATTGTAAAATGTATAATCTAAATTTTAAATGTAAAGCAAATTGTAATTAAGATCCTAATACAAGTGTGCGAGTGTGTGACACTTCATACACGTGGAGCAATTTCGTTAATTAAATCGATAGTGTCGATACTGATTAGCAACTATGCGAGAAGTAACAAGGAAAGTCCACATTTTAACAAGCGGAACAGGGTTGCCACCCGTCCCGTATTTCACGGGACAGTCCTGTTTTTGTTTGATTTGTCCCGCGTCCTGGCTTAATGGATGTCGGGACGCAATATGTCCCGTATTTGATTATTTCTTAAAATTATACATAAATATCATGATATTTAAGATATTTTCACCAAATCAATTTATTTTCAAACTATTTGTCTCTCATACGCAGCAAATTATAATTAGTATTATCATTGATTATAAATCAATGATATTATGTTTTAACTACTATAATACATATTACATAAACTGTGATGTTTATCTGTTTCTATTATTAGATAATAATTATAGTATTAAATATAATATTATATTATTATAAGTACAAGTTACAGATGTTCACTTAGCGATAGGCGATGGCTAGTTAATTTGTTATCTGTTTTTTTTCCAGTAATAAAAATAAACTAATTATAGGGAAGTTTGGAAGGTAGATTATAGTTGGCTTGCTAAAAGTCACCTAGAATCTTTTTCTCGTTGCACAATTTATAATAAAGACTTTTCTATTTCTCATGGTGGCTTATCTGACGTTAAACAACATGAAAAAAGCAATGTACATAAAATCAACATTAAGTCTGTCACTTTATTTCAAATTCTTAATAAATTTTTCATAAACCCTAATACTGTAGAATCTCAAAAAATTACTTTGGCTGAATTAGTTAAAGTTTATCATAATGTAAAACATAATTTATCATACAATTCATTGGATTGTTCTTTAAAACTAATGCCAAAATTATATTCCGATTCTGGAATAGCTAAAAAATTAGCCTGTGCTCGGACAAAAGCTGAAAGTATCACGATTAATGTCTTGGGTCCCAAAGCAGAATAAATTGTAGTATTAGATCTTCATGATTATATTAATTATAAAGTATATTTTTCTGTTGCAACTGATACATCCAATAAAAGCAATCGTAAAATGTATCCAATATGTGTACAATATTTTTCATTTAGTGATGGACGTCAAACAAAGCTATTAGATTTTTTTGAAGAACCGTCTGAAACTGCAGAGGCTATATGTAAATCAATAACTTCATCATTAAGTAAGCACAAATTATCTATGTCTTCTGTTTCAGCATTTAATGCTGATAACACTAATGCTAATTTCGGAAAACATAAATCTGCATATACACTTTTACATAATGAAAACAATAAACATATTAAATTTGGTTGTTTGGCTCACGTTGTTAACAATGCATTTAAACATGATTTGCAAAAATTAGACTTTGATGTAGAGACAGTAGTATTAAAAATATATAGTCATTTCTCTTCGTCTGCATCAAGAAGAGAAAATTTAAAAAAAAATGTTGATTTCGCTCAAGTTGATTGAGAAGAATTGGTGAAACATGTACCAACTAGGTGGTTATCTCTTGGTTCAGCAATTGAAAAAATTTTAAAATTTTATCCAACCTTAATATCATATTTTATATCAATAGGAGATGAATGTCCCAAAGTTCTTCAAAAATTACTATCAATAAATGCAGACACTGATACAGAGCAAGACAATTATCTTTACACTAAAACCTATATATATTTAACTTTTTGTGCAAATGTGGTTCAAATTTTTCAGCAAACTAGTAAACGATTACAAAATATGGATACTTTGCTACATAATTGTATGAAATTATGGATTATTTAAGAACTAACCTCACAGAAAGATTGGAGTAACAATTTTTTGGAGCACATTTCATTTCATGCAGACAACATTTAAAGGCAAACAAATTTGAAAAGTATAAGACAATCTTTTGGCAGTTTTATATAAATATTAATACATATTTATCTAAGTTGTTTAATTTCTCTGATGACAACATTTTTAAAGTGATTGAATGCTTACAATTAAAGAATGAAATTTCCTTCGACGATTTAGTTAAAGTTGTTAAGACATTACAAATAGAAAATATTTCTTTAGATGGCCTTTTTAATGAGTATTGCATAATAAAATCTATTTTAAATAATGTTTATAGTATAGAATAAAATGTGTACTCTAAGTAGACAAAAATATTTTCAAGTGGCAAAAAAGAAAATTTCAAAAATATATTTCTATTAGTTTCATATGTGTTAAATATTCCACCATAAAATGCTTATGTTGAAAGAATTTTTTCTATAATGAATCAAAAGTGGTCAAAAGAAAGGAACAGGTGCAAAGTAGAACTTATCAAGTCAGAACTTCAAATAAGTCTAAACTTTGAAGAAAACTGTTCAGATTTTATTGAAAAAATAAAGCTTGACGAAAACTTACTTAAAGCAGTATCAAGTAACAAAAAATATTCTTTTAAAAATAAATGAAAAATTTTCAAGTACAATACTAAAACTACTTTTTCATATTATTCTTAATTTTTAACACAATTATCTTACAATTGTATTTAGTTTGTATAATGTATAAGTATTATAATTCAAATGAAAGCTTTATAATTATTTTATTGTTAATATTTAAAAATACATACGTTAGAATTTTTTTTTTTAGGCTTACTTGATTTTGTATTCCATAAGTATTTGCATACATTATATATAATAAAATAAAGAGCCATATTTATATTATTATTTTTAATTTTAAGGAGCTAAACAAATTGACAAAATCTTATTTCATTGGGATGTTTATAAATAAAACTTAATATTTTCAACAAAAAATATGTGTCCGGTAATTATGACACTGAAAGGTGGTAACCCTCTAAGGGTGGTTAGGGCTTCAAATCTCTCCCCCCCCCCAGAAATATATAAAACATGACCTGACCAACAAATTTAATATTTGAGTCAAATTTTTTATGACATTTGGAAATAAAAAATATAAATATATTATATAATAAGTAATTAACTCTCCCCCCTCGTTCTCCTTTGATGCGATTTATTACAACGACCAATAATTTACTTCATATGAACTAATTTTAAATCAACCATGAAGGTAATTAATTAATTATTTAAATATTTTTTTACAGTCATAATAATTTATTTTTGTCATGGAACAGCAGTCACTATCACAACTTCGTTGACTTCAAAAATGGTAAAACCCCAAGAACTTGGTATGAATTAAAATTTTATTATTATAACAAAGTATTATGAATAAAATTATAAATTTTTATAATAGGACGATTAAATTCAATTCAAACTGGTATGAATTTTATACTGACAATGGGTACGTTAGTTGCGTACAATGTCCCACGTGGTAGCTATCATCATTTTTCTGAATTTGGTCATTATTGTTTGGTGATTTTCTTGTATGTGGTTTTGACCTTGCCTATATTAGGTGTATTCGTGTAAGTATTTTTTTAATAATAAATATTTTGAATAATATGTAAATAATCTGTTTTCAGGGCTTTTCATTTTAAGTATAGAGACTTCTTGACTGAGAAAACCCCGACGAAAATCAACAATTCTATTTACACAATTAGTCGTTAATAGTTAATATAACCATAAATAAAATAAATTAATATTTATTATTATTAAATTGAATTATACATTTAGAATATATTTAGATAAGAATTTATCATTTACCTAATTGATTTGTTTTTGTGATAATTCATCTTTATAATAATTACAAAAGGTTTAATGTCGCAATGAAAAGCATAAATACTTATATTATTTTTTTTAAATTTAAATTAATTGTTATTAAATTTATTTATATTATTAATACAAATGTACACATAAATGAATTAGAATTTAATTTATATAATTATACAATTTTCTTAGAATTATAAGAAGAAAAGCTTGTTAAATAGTATTATATCTCTATAGTTGATCTATTCGTGGATAAAAAAAACTAGAAGAGATATAAGTCAAGGTAATTATGGTTGAATAAAATCTATCATATATTATTTCCAAACACAGAGTAGAGCACATTTGATTTCTCAGTAGTCCAAGATTTCATGTAGTTTTGTATTAAAATAAAAATATATTATAATTTCAGTTGATATATGTTATTATTCTTCAACCCGTCGACCGTCCTGCCGAATATCGATTTCGTTTCTATTATCAGATAGGTTTTTATAATTTTACAATATGTAGGTATATCAGTTTATAAAGTAAATTAGTCGATTATAAAAATATTACTATTCTTATCTAGTGAACTATTATTTATATATTAAAAATGTTAATACTTTAATA